CAAAACATGCAAATCGCAGTATTTCTTTCGAAATTATTCACTTGATAAAGCATTAACTATCACCCTTAATACGTTTGTTTGAGTTTCGTGATCATATCAGGCGTCTACTAAACAAACTTGCCGTTGTTCTAAGCAAACAGTTCAAACCGAGTTTCAAGCCACCAGCAAACCACGTCATGAAATGAAGCGATTAGTGAGGAAACAGTTCACTGTAAAAACATTCACCACCGACAGAATCCATCACTTGCAGTCGTTTCCTTCGTTTACTACGGTCGCAGTCACATGTGAAAGCTTCATTCAAAAGACTCTCACCAGTCTGGATGATCGCATCCTCCATGAGCACATATTTGCAATCGGAACATCCTTCAAGTACTGCATTCTTCTTTTTAATCCCTCTGAAACACCTCCTATGCTACAGAATGCCAAATTCGGAAGGATTTCGTTGAGCACCCTCTCGGTCTCTTTATTTTCAACAGCTGCACATGATGATGTATCATGATTTCCATTCATCTTTGCTGGTTTTTGTTATGTTCTGTTATAAAGCAACATGGAGAGAAGTAATCGAGAACACTGATGAGATAGTTACATAAGGAGTCGTATAAAAATGATATCTTTCCTGATATGATAGAGGTTTGGGATAATATTGGTTTATGGATTCGTTTCTTCGCTCTAATGGGGTCAATCGTCGCCACTACAGGATTTCTCGAAAAGTAGTGCGGCTGGCGAAACTGTGGATAATGGAACATAAAACGTATGACTGCAGGATGGCTAAGCTTTCTGGTCTCCATAGCAGTCAGAAGTTTCATTGTTTGTTGTATACAATTCCACACCACACTCTGTAGCATTCGGAAGCATACAGTTTGCTCTAATGCATATCGTCCCATGCACTTGACCCATGTTGAATGTTGCCGAATGACTGTTGACAATCTGGTTCACGATAAAACCACTCGCCTTCAAAATAATCCATCATTCGCACCTGTTTCCTTCTTGCCATAAACATTTCCCTCACTAACAGTAAGACAACAGCAACTGAATCTTTGTGAAAAATTCTCTCGAGAGATTGATAACAGTTCGGATTATTGTATGTTCCAAGACAAAGTATTCTTCGTTCGTCATCCCCTCCCCCTTAGTCGATGTACATTCGTGCGATGCGTTTGGTAATGCGTTTTTAAAATATTTGGTATTTACAGAATTTCATCCGAAATTCCGAAATCAGAAATGAAGCTGTTCCTTGCGATATCTATTGGCCTACTTTTTCACGCTCAAAAAAGCGACGCAACAGCAGTCTTTGTGCCTGAAACATGTGATTCGGCAGCACAAAAAAATTGTGTTAATGTACTCACACCTCTTACAAACTGTCACGTTTTTACGGAACTTGCAAAGGTAAACAATTGAACCAGAAATTTTATTCATCACTAATGAATTCAGCCACTTTGATTTGAGGCAAGAATGTATAGAAAATCAAATGATCAACCAGATACAGGATACAGTAAAAATGTTCCGCAGAATAGAGCTCAAAGAATCTGTCCCTTAACATTCATGTGCTCTTCTCAGACAACAGAAGAAAAATGTTTGCTAGCTTTAATCCAATATAGTTTCAGTGAAACCTGACAGTCCTTTTTCGTTTTCGTTTCACCTAAACGGCAACAATAGTCTAAAGAACTAAGAAGAAATATTATAAAATGCAATCGTTGCGTTGTTTTCATCGGAAATGACCAAAACTTGCAACGCGATGCAATACAATGCAACGATGCAACAAGGAATCATTTGCAGTTCTTTTTTTCTGAGGAAATTTCTTTCGATCCTAGCAATAGGTGGCGATAAGAGTGGAATGAGATAATTAAATTGAGTTCAATTGCTGATCTTCGACTGAACTCATCATTTGCATTATAATTTGTTCTATTGCAGAGTTGTCGTGTTACATGTAAGATGTGTGATGCATTCAACTGCACGGGCAATATTAATAGAGAATCATGTACGGCAATAAGAGATGGTTGCAACGACCCAATAACTGGGCGGTTCATGCGGGAAAATTGTCCGCAAATATGTGGAACATGTCCCGGATATGAAAATGACCAGTGTGATGATGTTGCTAATGCTTATTTCTGTTCATCAATGAGGGTGAGCTGTCCATTTGCAATTGATCGCAACGCCAATTATCGATCACTTTCATTCACAGCAGACATCATTTTCTGCTGATTATTGGCATAATGCAGTGCACACCGAGAATCAGATCAGTTTAAGCGTTCTTCTCGCCCAATTTGAAGCACTCATAAGTTAAAACCTGAGAATGTCGCAGAGAATCGGTACAAATCCAAAAAATGAACATTTTTGACTCGCTTACAATCGACAAAAGCTTCACTGCCACAACAGTTGCATTCGTGTAATTGTCTCTCCCAACCGTCGTCGTATTCGCTAATCCAATTGATCGTCTTCATTACGATTGATTTAAATTTGAACTGATCATATCATCGAATTTAAATGACTTTTAAAACTTAAAGGATTCATGCAATAATCCAGCAACTAACGAAACAATGATAAAACTTTGCCCCGCAACATGCTATCGATGTCCAAAAACCCCAGGTGAGATACTTGCGCAATTACCNTTTTTTTTTCTTTCAGAATGGTGTAAGGATAACATATCGAATTGCTCAACAATGCTCTCAACATGTAACGATACAAGTACAGAGACTTTTATGCGCGAAAACTGTCAGCTCAGTTGTGGCCAATGTTGTTCAGACCATTCTAGGTATGAGATCTGCTGGACTGATTCAATCTGGAATTATTTGATAGTGTCAAAGTGTCAAAAATTGAATTAATTTCTCACGTTTCTTCAATCAGCGTGAAATGTTTACATCAAAATGTTGACTCGGAAATTCTGTCATCGAGTACAGTCATCATGCAAGCACAGGAAATAAATTAGTGTTTTTCACAACCATCATGAGTTGAAGTGAAACGACTTTTTATAGTGACAGAAACACTTCATACGAAATTGTAACGGTCCGTAGAATACTTATGAATCGCAAGCGATCAAAATTTTCCAAGCGCTCATTCCAATATTCAGCAAGAAATTTTCAGGTGCGGTGCATGGCAAAAAAGAGGTTTTTGCAAAAATGATTTCTATTCCTTGGATTATAGACGTCAGTTTTGTCCCGCTTCATGCAAATCGGAAATTGACAACGTACGTTTTGAACACTTACGGGGAAACTATCGGCGTTTCCCTGTGATCAAATTCTAATTGTGCATTGACATATCAGCTGACAGCTTCACGGCTTCCAATTCATCCAGATCATTTAAATGATATTTTCAGCAAATATCTCGCTTGAGTTGCTCAATCCGTTCTCAAAAACTGTTCAGTTTTTTTCAATTTTCGTAGTAGTGTCATATTTTTTGGACTCCGATATCGCTTCATCCCGTAACGACAGAATAAGCCCACTCAGACAATGACTTGTTATGAAATAACCAAGCCAATTGCAGCGAACGCTAGCAATGTGCGAATTCTGAACGAGACCAATGGCTATGACGATATCAACAACAAAACACGAAAACTGATTTTTGCATCACGTCTATGCAAATTCCCTTTCTCTCTCTCTCTCCTATGTGCAGTGTACCCGTGTTTAATTATTGGCAAATAAAAAGCATCAGCAAATTTTGTGTTTGTGTTTCAATACAGTGAAAGCATCGAAGTTACGGCGATAAACTGTATATATTCGAATTTCTTCGAATGATCAACTCTGAATATTACCGACTATTTGGCTGGTTTGCGTTCGATGCGTGAATGAATGCAAGTGCGAATGTGTTCAGTTGAATAACCTTCAATCGCTACAGAGCATATGATGTCGTCTATTTGAACATTATCCGAGAGAACGCATCACGATCT